AGTGGAAGTACGTACATACCTTTGGTGGGTTAATTGCGCCCATCAACAATTCACTCTACCAGTGGGTCCATATCTTGCAGGCACTCATGCTTTTCACCTAGCTGTGTAATAGAAAGGAAGCACTATATGAAGTCTAAGGAAAAAGCGTACTTATCCAACCCACCAATGTGCACTTTTTTCAAATGCCATCAGTAGGTCTTCAAGTTATGTAAGAGCACCGTGAGAAGCTGTTTAGATGAGAAAAGTCAAAGATACATTTCATCTATCCAACTCATCTATGTGTCCATGTTTTCGTAGGTCATCAACGGGCCATCAGTTTGAGTAACACAAAGAATCTAGCAGTATAGACTAACATAAAATCAGAGATAGATCTCATTTATCCAACCTATCGATCACCGGTGAGTCATCAATTCGAGTAGTACCGAAGGAGGTGACAAAGTAGGAGGAAGAAATGCGAAACAAATCTAAGTTTTTTTAGCAAGAAAAATTCATGATTCCATGCAAAAACAAACCTTAAGGTTGGAACTACGCATCCATAGCACATAATGCTGAATTTAGATGTTGCAAATTTCATGAAAGGTCCGACACACCAGTTTAGCAGGGAAAGTAGGTCACTTTGGATCGCAAATATAAAAGACGGAGATTGAGAAGCAATGGCGTACAAAATGTTGATATCATCTGCGAACTAATAAGGTCTACCATGCCTTATTGCAGGGAAAAGATCATTTGCATTCGGTTTATCAGGCACATACACTAAGTATGCTATTGATCTCGGTTTATCCAGTACTTGTCTAACCTCTTTGAGCTTTTCGGTTAATACGATTACCTCATTTTCTAAATTTCGGCTTTTGGTGGCAATTTCAGGTGTCCGGAGTCGGATAATGCTCTTAATTTTAGCAGCCCTCGTTAGCCGGTTCGTGTTATTTTCCATGCCCTCTCCTACAACCAAATTTGCGCTTTGGTCAGGAGAATCAAAAAAAATTTATACACGGAGCTTTAGCAGTACTCGGCTTACAGCTTGCTACCTGACGCTTGTTGTCAGTTGTTTTCGGAGGAACAGCTGGTTTTCTCGCCATCATAAAGAAAGAAATCAGATGGCAAAGCTAACCTCGAATATCAGTTATACAAACTTAGAAAGATGCAAGATGAAAATTCTGAATTACAAGATATGGATGGAACCAGATATGGCGCTACTCTGACGAAGAATTGATACGACACACAAAATACAACCGTTCGGCTCCCCTTTGTGTGCTCCATCCAAATCTGGTAAAACTTTGAAAGGATACCTAACAGTTTTCGTGAAAACTGGATAAATCCTTTTCAACCCTAGAACAGTCAAACATAAGAGCACAAATTCATCGTTTCGAAAACGAAAAGGCTAATTTTAGTCTTGTTTGCAATATAACTGAAGGCCCTCTAATAATCTTGCATTCATCTCAATCGGCTGCTGTACACGAAATTGATGGGGAAATTCGTCACTACTCATATGGTCCCTGCTGCATTGTTTACAATCAGACCGTGACCAACTCCATTTGAAACTTACCAAGATCTCGCATTCACCGAGACCAGATCGATAAACACGCGTGCACGGTCCCTGTATCCGCTCGTGCTTCAAATCCTTGCCCACACTGGACTTGGTGTCAGGACAGTACACGTGATTTAACAACTCGTTGAGGTCAGAGTAACGTGTTCAGACACGATGTTCTGGCAGATGTCGATCCATATGTTGTCACTCTCTTTCGTTACTCACGGAAAATATTAGTTACAGTAAATCTTCCGTAATTTGACCATCCACGGGACTGGACCAGTGGTCAAAGTGAAGAGATTGACATACAGTGGTGTGGATCCATAAGGTTTGCATGGTGGACATCCAGCTAATAATAATGAAGGTTAATATCGAGTGTTTTACTGTATATGTGCGTGCCGGAAGCAATCTCATGCACAGCGATCTGGAAATCACATCTATGACTGTGGTAATGTCAAACTGCTTATTTACTTCGTAGCGTATTGCACGGCAAGGGAAACTGTTTCAAACGTCCCTGATTATCGAATGTTCAGCTGTCTTTTTATCCATCTACCAGGTGTTCGATGTACTTTAAAACAAGAAGCTACTCTTTTTTCTCTGGCCACTAGGGTTCGCCGTTGAGAGAATAACGGAGTTGAAAAACACCTCCCTTATTTCCATGAGGTTCGCCTTGTGCGTCATGGAAGTGGTATCACTTGGAGGCCAATCCGAATTGCAGCCGGCTGGGACCTCGAATACGTTCAAACTAGACCCAGAATCTGGAGATATACCACCTATGAGTTCGGTGGTGGTGGCAATCAGCGTAGTCCCCAAGAGCCTGGGTAGACAGAAATTCGCAGTCGTCGTGGACATACCTGGCGTTGGAGGGGATCTGCATCGTCTTCCGATTTGTGTAAAGTGAGTTTGCCACTGAGCAGAAGCAAGTGCTTTCTCGACACTACCCAATTCAGATCCTTCACTACTTACTGTTTAGACGCCCATTCTGGTCCGTTAAGTGCTCCAGTGCCATTTGCATTTAACCAGATCCTTTATGCGCTAGTGAAAAATCTCATTTTTCTAGGTCTACCGCGTGTCGTTATTAGATGGAAAACTAGCACGTGCCACGTATATCCAGCAGTCTCAACGAACTCAGCTCACTCACCTTCACCTCACTCAAACACAACCCAGTTGTTGCCTTTGTGATTGCCGCGTGACGTTCAATATGCCAAAGGCCGTCTTTGAATGAAGAATTAATACGGGGGGCTCCGAATGCCTGTTTTGGTTCATGACAGTAGCAGCAATTCGATTGAGGTTTTCATTCAATGCTATCTTAATTTTGAGCACAAATGGTACAACACAACCAGGCTAAAAATAAAAAGCGAATCAGTACTCGATTTTTGCAGTTAAATTTCTCTGTTTGTTAGTTAAACTAGTAAAACGTGTGAACGTAGCTGTGTATTCACACTCTCGTACAGAAGACAGCAAACTCGTCGGTCATAGACAGATAACTGGGACGATTTATAGAAATAAATGGGCGGTGGTGTGCTAGGTGCATGGAAAGTTACACTGTGGACCGATAGACAAGTAGAAATTCAAGCCGGTTAAAATACTGATTAACTAACTGACTAAAAGAGTGAATGAAAAAATAAACGAAGGAATGAATCAATGAATAAATTGCTAACTGTGAATGACTGCGAACAATCGAACGAGGCAGTTCCTCACTCTTTCTCATGTTTTACGGACGAGTTTTCTACTTATTTTCCTCAATTTTGATTTGGTAGGTTATTCGTTTAATGGCCAGATGTATTGGTATTTCAAACAGGTGTAATCTAGGCTTGTTACTTTGATTCCCAAGTTAGTAACCATGCAACGTAGCGCTGACGTAATTGAAATCAGCCTCCTGGTGACTATAATCAGAGGACCACTGACGTAGTAAGCTTCGTTTTAGCAGTTCCCGTTCGATACTTCAATGAATGGTTTTTCGGAGTTCACATCCACAGTATTATTGCTTCATCTTTAACAAACCGCCACTTGTGATCACCGTATCTTTGCATAGTTTGTCGCAAATGGAAATGCGGCTGGAAACTGCGTCCTCATTTCATCTTCGCACCACAGCTATGCGTCATCATCATTTCTTTCAACTCATTACCCAGCTGTACCTGTCCAACTGTCTCGGTCAGCCCCACTGAGCTTGACTTGCGTAGATGCTTCCTACGTCACCCATATGAAATCAACTTCAACCTCGTCAATCACTCTGCTCAACACGCCAGATTCCGCCTTGTGGATGCTGCGAAGCAAGGGGAAGAGGTGGACAAGGAAAACGGATTGGTTTACGCTAGTGTACAACCTGAGGTGAGTATTTTGTAAGTAGTATCACATTTACCCGAAATATTTGGGCGAACTCACAGCTTAGTCCAATGGACATAAAGCAAGTGTACCAAGGGGTATCCATGCCGGTGGGAGAGAATCCCACTTGCTGGTTGGTTTTGTTGCCGTCCATCTAAAACCAGCATATTACCGACTAATGCTTTGCAGTCACTCGTGGTTAAAGGGTATCAACAGACACAGTCGAACATGTGTGCTTTATTGTTAAACTCTGTCCAATTCTGTGCGCTTTTTTGCCACATCACCTGCACTCCCACCTAAATAGGTGTGACAACTGCGAGCAACGCATTTATAGGCCGGTTACTAGTGAGCACACAAACGACGGGTCCTCACCAACGTACGAGTTTCATGTCAAACAGACCTTCCAATGTGACGCCAAAAGGCTTTCCATGGAAACATAAGACACCGGTGCACTTTAATATCGCACACCTAGTGTTCCACTATATGTGAGGGTTTCTTCACAAGCACTAATCATTAAGGATGACCATCGTCTTGTGTTTCCAGCTCCAGGTGGTAGCATTTCAGAGGCATACAGTGACGACAGCCTTGCCATAATGCTGCACACCCGACACTTGTTTGGGAGGCCTATGGACTACTGTTTGCACAAATGATCGAAACTTTGAGAAAATAGGCACGAAATCCTGATATGTGGTGCCGTCTTAACAATGACTTGATCACCACTAGTAACACTGCAATGTTAACCGTTCGACCAGTTTGAGGATTTCTTTGCTGACGATTGCGTCATGCAAACTTAGCTTATGCTCCGTTGCTCGAGATTCCCTGGTAAGGGTCCCGGAGATACACAGTGTCGCTTGTGGTGACCGTGGAAGTGATGGGTCCAGAGCGACGTCAGTTGCGGACGTGTGTCTATGCGTGCTGCGGTGATTCCCTTTGCAGGTATATACTAATATATACACTAAGATATATGTATATATCTGCAACATACAGCGGGGTGGCTAAGCGAAAACATGATACTGCTAGCGTCTCCCTTATTTCCTCTTCCCATGTACTTACTCTCCTCGTCTCTGTTTTGACTAACGCACTACATACTTCAATCCAGATCGTCAATACCCATAAGGTTGCTCGCCAAAGCAATGGTATGCCTGCGCGCAGAGCACTCAACATCGGGTGCTGGAATGCGGGCATTTTGCTTGACCTGAACACGAGTGAGCGTCCCGAGCGACGCACTGCACTCATCACGTTGGAACTGGCGCGCCACAATATTGATATTGCGGCGACCAGCGAGACTCGGCTCGCTGAACATGGTAGGTTGCATGAAGCTGGTGCAGGTTATACGTGCTAATGGGTGGGAAAAGCCACCTCAGCACCATGTGAAGGTGGGGTCGAATTTGCCCCATCCGACCGCTTAAATGTTCAACTAGCGGGCGCGCCCAATGGTATCAGCACGCGACTGATATTTGTCCGTCTACCACTCGGAAGAGGTAAGTTAGCCACTTTTATCAACACGTACGGTTCGACCATGTCTTACCCTGATGGCACGAGTGATCGGTTCTAGACTCAGTTATCCTCCATGATACGGTCTCTGCCGTGGAACGACCTGCTATTTCTGCTGGGTGATTTCAACGCTCGCGTTGGACGTGATGCATCGGTGTGGACAAATGTCATCGGCCCGCACGGCATTGGTTCAGCGAATGTGAACGGTGACAGGCTCCTCTCACTGGGTGCCACTCATGGCCTAACGATCAAGAACAATCGGCTTGCACTGAGTGCTAGTGATATAACAAATTGGACGCATCCACGGAGTGGTCACACTCATCTACTCGACTGTCATCTTACGTCAGCGTGATATGCGTGAAGTGCTCATGACACGTGTATTGCGCTGAACTGATTGTGACACTGACCACAAATTGGTGCTGACCAAATTGTACATCGCACGAAAAAGTACGTACTGTATGAGTGCCGTTAACCGTGGGCGTAATTTTAACAGTCTCTCCCTCGGTACTGTGGCGAAACGTATTGAGCTGGAGAAAGCGATGGCTTCAAGCCTGGGTGATGTGGAATACATAGCCACAGTGGGAGACCTGTGGCGCCACATTCGCAACAACTTGACAGCTGCTGCCGAAGAGACCATTGGGCTCGCAAACTGTAAGCTGCCCGATTGGTTTGATAACAATGTGACGATTGGCGCATTGGTGTCCGAGGAGAACGCAGCATTTGCTGCACTTTTAGCAGACTCCAGTGCCTTAGGGAAGAAGAGTCAGTTTTGTGAATTTCAACGGCGACTGACTCGCAAGCGCCGTCGCATTAAAAATGCATGGTGGGCGGAGAAGGCGAAGCAAATGAAATGCTACGCAGAAAGCCCTCAACACAAGAAGTTCTTTGGCTCCTTGAAGGTGGTGTATGGACCGAGATTGGAGCCACTGAGGACTTTGCTCGATGCTACTTCAGGCGCTGCCTGCACGCAGACTGCATACCTAATGCAGATCTGGCGAAAACACTTTGTGCCTCTTGAACAACCTTTCAGAGATCGGTTGGGCTGCGTTGCACGGGCTGCAACAACAAGAGATGAGGACGTGTCTTGCTGACACACTGACACCGGATGAGACGCGCAGAGCACTTGCTCAGCTCCGAAACGGCAAGTGTGCCGGTTCCGACTGGATCCCACCTGAAGTACTGAAACACGGCGGACCCGCGTTGGTGAATGCGCTGCACCAGTTGGTACAACGCGTGCGGATTGTAGAGGAGGTGCCTACAGAGTTGAAGAATGCGCTTGTGCTTCCACTGTACAAGGGCAAAGGAAGCAAGCAATGTTGCACGAATTATGGTGCTATCAACTTACTGATTTGGGTGGGCAAGTTGATTGCCCGAATCCCGCACACCTATCTCGTCACTCAGGCTGTGGAACCGAACGTGGCGGAAGAGCAAGGTGGAATCTGTTCGGACCGCAGCACCATAGATATGGTGACTGCGGCTCCTCTATTGTAGGATAAATGCAGCGAACGACGCCAGCCGTTGTATTCGTCGTTAGTTGATTTCACCAAATCCTTTGATACGGTGGTTCCTTAGGCATTGTGGCTGGTGTTGGGTAAGGTTGGTTGTCCGCGTGAGTTTGCAAGCTTAATAGAAGGTCTGCACAGCGGTATGCGAGCGAGGATGCAGTTGATTGAACAGACCTCGGATGACTTTGCAGTTTTCTCTGCTGTGATGCAAGGCTGTGTCTTAGCTTCTTCTCAGCTGAATATTTACCTTCATACAATGATGTCCTGTCTTTTTGACATTACTTGTGGTTAAAGTGTCCGTGTGGAACACTGCATTGATGGTGGGTTGCTGAACTTCCGTCGTTTCGGTGCGAGAACTCTAGTCTGTGAGACAACTATCCGTATGTTGCTGTTTGCTGACGGCTGTGCGTTGTTTGCGCACAGCGCGGATGAGTTGCAGCACATGACTAGTGCCCTGGCTTCGACAGGGGCTAAATTCGGGCTCATCATCAACACAAGCAAAACTGTCTGTCACTTTCAGCCTTCACCCTTAATGGAGTCCGTCGGCCTGCCGCAGATCCAGTTTGCGGAAGAAGTGGTGGAAACCACTCCGAGATTTTGCTACTTTGGTAGCGTAATGACAACCGACCTGCAAATGGCGAGCGAGCTGCGCAGCTGTGTATCGAAGGCGGCTGCTGTAGGTGGCAAACTGGAATGTCATGTGTGGAACAACCACCATCGAACCGTCTGGACGAAGCTGTTGATATACACGTTTATGGTGCTGTCCATTCCTCTATATGGCAGTAAAACCTGGGCGCTTTTTCGGAAGGATGTCCGTTAGCTGGCACGCTTCCAACAACAGTGTCTTCGTCGTAGTATGCGTATCGGCTGGAGCGACCGAGTTGCAGACACGGAGGTGTTCCGACGCAGTGGCGTTTACGCAGTGAACCGCATACTTCTGCTGAGACACTTGAGGTGGCTCAGGCATATTCGCGGCATTGATTCGACCCGGATACGCAAATGGCTGCTTCATGGCCAATTGCGTGCAGGGAGGCGACATGTGGGATAACAGAATTTATGTACCAGTATATGAACAAGTTGAGTCTATCACTTTCTAATGTTGATTTCTGGTGTGGGGAATCGAACGCAGTTGATTGGCGTGAATGGCGCGATCTGATCACGAAAGCAGTTGCCAAGGTGCAGGAGAAAGCCCTCGCGCATGCAGAGAAGAAGCGGCAGTTGCGGAAGCAACAGGCGTCGATGGGGTGTACTCCATTGAAGTCGAGCGCATCGTGCGGTAGCACATGTGGTTGCGAGTGCCTGAGTCAGGCAGTCCTAGTGAGCCACGAGCGAGGCTACTCGGGACCAGCATCGAAATGACGACAGGTGCTACTGAGAACGTAAGCAGAACCGGCGCAGCGCTGGTAGGTACGCTGCATTCGAGTTACTGCGCGCTGAGCTTCTTTATTTCAGATGATCGGTTTGCTATATTTTGTTAATACTTAGTTGTTACTTCATTTTATGTCTACCTGAATAATCTATTAACTTGCACATGTAGCTTAAAGAAACGGTGGTTATTTTCTGCAGATTTATTCTCTTTTGTTGAAGGTATTTTTATCTCTTTTTCCATCTTGAAGGTATCGCGAATATGTTGTTAGGTGGTTAACTTCTCTAATTTTTTGAGTTTGTGACATTTTTAATTATCTTTTTCTGACGTCTTGGACTTATCCTAGATTTGTTGTTAACCAATTTATTTCACATACTCATTTATTGAAAACTTATGTCGGTCTGTCCTTACGCTCTATTCGATATATATTATTTGATATTGTCATTTCGCGTGATTGGCTGTTGCTTGACATCCACGGTGTGGCTGCGTTTGATGTGCATGTTGACAATGTGCCTACCTGCCTCCAGGAGACAATCGGTCGTTGCAGGAAGGGACGGGGTCCATGGACCTCGTGACCGTAGTAGGCTAGAAGGGTGGTTCTCTGCAGATGTTTTGCAGAGCGAACTATATTCCAGCCACTG